ATTGCAAATAGAGCTGCTATGAACATTAGTATACAAATTATCGTCTGAATGTCCTTTTCCCATTCTTCTGCATATATATTTAGCAGTGCAATTTCTGGATCACATGGTAATTCCATGTTTGACTTTTGAAGAACCAACCATGTTCCACAGCAGCTGCACCATTTTCCATTCCTATCAACAATAAATGGGGGTAATAATTTCTCTCCATTTTCCTCAACTTGTTATTTTCCAAATTGTTTTAATTTTTGCCATCCTAGTGGGTGTGAAGTGGAATCTCACTGTGGTTTTGATTTGCAATTCTTTAATGACAGTTATGTTGAGCATGATTACATGTGTGTGATGGCCACTTGTATATCTTTCTTAGAGAAATATTCAAGTCCTTCACCTATTTTAAAATTGAGTTGTCTTTGTTGTTTAATTGTAATCACTTTTTATATATTCTGGATACTAGACCCTTATCAGGTATATGATTTGCACACATTTCTGTAGGTTTCTTTTCACTTTCTTGATAGTGTCTTTTGATGCACAATTTTCAATTTTTTTAATGAAATCCACATTATATGTTTTTCTTTTGTTGTTTGTGCTTTTGAAGTTACATCTAAGAAACCATTGGAAAATACAAGGTCATGAAGATTTACCCCTATGTTTTCTTTAAAAGTTTTATTGTTTTAGTGCTTATATTTATGTCTTTGATCCATTTTGAGTTTATTTTTGCATATGATATGAGGTAGGAGTCCAACTTCATTCTTTTTAATTGTTAATTCTTACCCAATGATATCTTTTCCGTTGATTTTTTTAGAGAGAGTGGAAGGGAGGGAGGAGGGGGAGGAGAGAGAAACATCAATGTGAGAAGACATATCAATTGGTTGTCTCCCACATGTGCCCCGACAAGAGCAGGGCTCGAACCTGCAACCCAGGTACATGCCCTTGACTGGGAATTGAGCCCATGACCCTTCGGTGGGCAGGATGACACTCTAACCACTGGGAAACACTGTCCAGGGCCCAACTTCATTCTTTTGCATGTGCATATTCAGTTATGCAAGCACTGTTTGTTGAAGAGATTGTTCTCTCCTCCATTGAATTGTCTTGGCACCTTTATCAAAAGTGGACTTACCATAGATGTATAGATTTATTTCTAGACTCACAATTTTAGTCCACTGGTCTGTATGTTTATCCTTGTGCCAGGATTTCATTGTTGATTCCTTTAGCTTTATAGTATGTTTTGAAATTGGGCAGTGTGAGTCCTCCAATTTTGTTCCACTTTTTCTTTTCTTTTTTTTCTTTTTAGTTAGGCAGGATCTTTTTTGTTTAATCCTCACCCAAGAACATGTTCATTGATTTTGAGAGAGAAAAAGAGAGAGAGAGAGAAACACTGTGAGAGATTAGTTGCCTCCCACACGCACCCTCACAGGGGCCAGGGATCAAGCCTGCAACCCAGGCATGTGCCCTTAACTGGGAATCAATCCTGAGACCCTTTGGTGTAGCCAGGGCTGTACCAGTGTTCTTTATTTCTCCCAATGGGTTTAAGTTACTGATTAGTGTCCTTTCATTTCATCCTGAAGGGCTCTCTTTCCCATTACTCATTGGGTAGATCTAACAGTGATTCCTCTCAGCATTTATTTATCTGGAAGTGTCCTAACTTCTTCGTTTTCTGAGGGATAGTTTTGCCTGAAATAGAATTCTTGGTTAACTTTTATTCTTTCAGCACTTTAAATATGTCATTCTAGCCCAGTGATGGCTAACCTATGACACACGTGTCAGAGGTGACACGCAAACTCATTTTTTTGGTTGATTTTTCTTTGTTAAATGGCATTTAAATATATAAAATAAATATCAAAAATATAAATCTTTGTTTTACTATGGTTGCAACTATCAAAAAATTTCTATATGTGACATGGCACCAGAGTTAAGTTAGGGTTTTTCTTTTTTTTAAAATATATTTTATTGATTTTTTTTTTTTACAGAGAGGAAGGGAGAGGGACAGAGAGTTAGAAACATCTATGAGAAAGAAACACCGATCAGCTGCCTCTTGCACACCCCCCACTGGGGATATGCCCGCAACCAAGGTACATGCCCTTGACAGGAATTGAACCTGGGACCCCTCAGTCCGCAGGCCGGCGCTCTATCCACTGAGCCAAACCGGTTAGGGCAAGTTAGGGATTTTCAAAATGCTGACACGCCGAGCTCAAAAGGTTCGCCATCACGGTCTTAGCCCTCGCCAGTTTGGCTCAATGGACAGAGCGTTGGCCTGCAGACTAAAGGGTCCCAGGTTTGATTTGGGTTAAGGGCACATGCCCAGGTTTCGGGCCCGATACCCAGAAGGGGGCGTGCAGGAGGCAGCCGATCAATGATTCTCTCTCATCATTGATGTTTTTATCTCTCTTTCCCTCTCCCTTTCTCTCTGAAATCAATAAAAATATATATTTTTAAAATAAATAAATAAATATTTTAAAAAGAACAATGGCCCTTGCCCTATTGGTGCGGCTCAGTGGTTGAGTGTCGATCTATGACCCAGGAGGTCACAGTTTGATTCCCAGTCAGGGCACATGCCCAGGTTGCAGGCTTGATTGCCAGCAAGGAGCATGCAGGAGACAGCGATCAATTATTGTCTCTCATCATTGATGTTTCTATCTCCCTCTCCCTTACTCTCTCTGAAATCAATAAATCAAAATTATTTTTTAAAAGCCAGTTTGGCTCATTGGATAGAGCATCAGCCTGCGGACCAAAGGGTCCTTGGTCTGATTCCGGTCAAGGGCACGTACCTTGTTTTCAGGCTCCTCCCCAGCCTGGGCCCTAGTCAGGGTGCATGCAGGGGGCAACCAATTGATGTTTCTCTCACATCAATGTTTCTCTCTGTCTTTCCCTCTCTCTTCCACTCTCTCTAAGAAAAATATCCTCAGATGAGGATTAACAACAACAACAATTATATGTGTGTGTGTATATATATGTGTGTGTATATATATGATATATGATATATGATCAATGATTCTCTCTCATCATTGATGTTTATATCTCTCTTTCCCTCTCCTTTTCTCTCTGAAATCAATAAAAAATATATTTAAAATAAATAAATAAATATTTAAAAAAGAACAATGGCCCAGCCCTGGCCAGTGTCACTCAGTTGGTTGAGCATCATCCCATGCACCAGAAGATTGCCAGTTCATTAGGGCACATACCTGATTGCAGGCTCAATCCCCAGTAGGGGGCGTGCAAGAGGCAGCCGATGGAAGTTTCCCACATCAATGTTTCTCTTTTTTATCTGGAAGTGTCTTAACACATAGTCACTTATGTCCCATCCTCCCTGAAAAATCAACAAAAACCTTTTTGTTTTTAAAGAACAATGGCCCAGGCATTGTGAGTGCCCCAGGGATCTCCGTTGCCATAGCGGCATAGCCCGTATCATTCCTCCCAACCTGATGGCAGAGGAGAGGCACAGGGTGCTATCTTTCTGTTTCCTCAACTCCCATGCAGAGCTGCCGGCTCCCTACATCCTCCAGGAAGTACGGGTCTCCATCATAAACAACTCCAGGTGTAATGACCTGTTCCAACAGCCCGATTTCTTCTATAGACTGGCAGATGACGTGATTTGTGCTGGCTCTGAGGATGGCAAACGTGACGCCTGCGAAGTGAGTGCCCCGGCCCCAGTCAGAGCCTTGCTGGAAACAGGCCCTGCCCCTCTCAACCTTGGGCCTGAGAGCAGCCCCCATGACCGGCCTACCCTCAGAGGTGGTTAATGAGGAAGTGATTTCGCCCTTACTTACCCTGCCTATAAAGCTCGTTTTGCATTAGCAGTATCTGTTTGGATCCTCATGTGGGTAGCGACTTTTGCCCCCCTTTGCAGATGCGGAAACTGAGGCTTGGTCACTTCCGGGGGGAGGAGTAGGATTTGCACCTCGTTTGCCCAGCTCCATAGCCCCACCTGTTCTGGGGCCTCCCCACGCGACCCTCCTGGCCCAGGCCAGGCTCACCTATGCTGCTCCCCAGGGTGACTCAGGCGGACCCTTGACCTGTGAGAAGAACGGACTGTGGACTCAGATTGGAATCGTGAGCTGGGGAATAGGCTGTGGCCGGCCCAACCGACCCGGTGTCTACACCAACATCAGTAGATACTTCAGCTGGATCCAGAAGCTCACGGCCCACAGCGCACCCAGGCCAGACCCCTTCCCACTACTGCTGCTCCTCCCTCTGCTCTGGGCTGCCCCACTCGTGTAGCTGACCTGCACAGCTGGCCCTGTAAGGGTGTAGGAGTTACCACAGCCCTGGACACATTCACCCAGGGCTGTGGACACCCCTGGACTGTCTGCTGGATCAGGCTCTGGTCCCTTCTGTCTCCTTTGCTAATAAACGTGTGCATTTTCATTGATTCCTTGCAGAGTGTTTTGTGGACTTGGGTGGCTTCCTGGACACTCTCATAGTCACTTATGTCCCATCCTCTCCAAGACCACTCCCTAATTCCTAATTTTTCTCTGCTGATCTGCACTATACATATTTTGGTTGCAAACAGGAGAACCCTCACAGGTTAGTGCAACCAGAAAGAATTTGTGGAAGGACGTTAGTAGCACTAGGGGGCTAGGAAGACAGGAGTGGGGTATTGTGGAGGACATACCCCCGAACACCCCAGTGCTCATCACACAGATGTCAGCTGCTCCTGGTCTTAATGCGGCCGGCCCCCCAAAGGCTGACCTGGGATTCGGACTGGGGTGCGGGTAGTTTATTTGGGAGGCGATACCAAGAAGCGCCAGTGAGGAGGGGGGACACTGAAGCGGGGAAGGAAGAACCCCATGACGTTTGCCTGAATGAGGAGGGTACTGAGGCGCCGTCCTGCTGGGCCCCTGGAGAAACCACAGGCTCCTGGAGGACAGGGATGCTGTGTGTGGGCACTTCTCTCCTGACCCCACAGGTTGAGGGTTGTCCTGGTGGCATGGGTGCTCCAAGGTACAGCAGGTCCCGGTGAGGACGCCAGTGCCTCAGGAGCTGCTGCAGCACCACAAGGGGGCCTGATGGAGGCGGGCAGCACCAAGTGTGTCCCAGAACTCAGCCTCAGCATGACCAGGGATCAGGCCAGTCGTAGGCCCATTCAGGGGCACCTGGAACTGCTCAGGCAGATCTGCGTTTTCACAAGATTCCCAAGTGCTGTGAGCTCAAGACGTGTGAGGAGCTATGGTTGGTCTAGATTTCTTCCCTCGGCTGCCCGCCCTACCGTTCCCTGCTGTGGAGAGGCAGGTGTGGGAGTCTTCAGAGGGCAGACCTTCCTGGTTTCTGCCCCACACCTGCCAGCAGTGCAGTTGTGTAGGGCCGTGGTCGGCAAACTGCGGCTCGCGAGCCACATGCGGCTCTTTGGCCCCTTGAGTGTGGCTCTTCCCAAGCCTTCGGAGTACCCTAGTTAAGTTAATAACAATGTACCTACCTGTATAGTTTAAGTTTAAAAAATGTGGCTCTCAAAAGAAATTTCAATCGTTATACTGTTGATATTTGGCTCTGTTGACTAATGAGTTTGCCGACCACTGGTGTAGGGCATCACACTTGGACTTCGTGCCCTGGGGCAGCCCTGTGAGGCTGGAGCTCCCCTCCCCCCCCCACCCCCCACACCCCCAAGCCCCCCCCCTTACACCCTGGCTATAAAGAGGAAACTGATGTTCAGTGAGGGGACAGGACCCGCTGGAAGCACCCAGCTCACAAGGGCCCGGGTCTCGAGAGCACTGGCCAGCCCTGGGGTCTGGGCTCCAGTTTGGGCCCGCCAAGCCGGAACTCGGTCCCTCAGCACCCAGCCCTGTCAGGACCCTGGGGCCTGTTCAGGTTTGAAGAGAGCTCCCAAAGATTCTCTAGAGCTTCCTGGCCGGACCGCAGCCCCCCTTCTCCCCCAACCTCACTGCCCTTGCTTGGCTGGGCTCCTGCCCGCCCCCCCCCCCCCCCCAGCACCCTGGCCCAAACCAGACTTCTTTTGAGAATTGCAGGTGTCCCTTTCCTGCCACCTTGGAAGTGCTGCTCAAAGCATCTTTGTTTGAGGCTGGACAGGTGAAGCCGCAGCCCCTCCCTGGTCTCCTTAATTACCCCTGGCAGGGCCCGCCCCCTCCCGGCCTTTTAAGCCCCCACATACTCCGCCAGCCCAGTCAGCTGGGAGGGACCAGGCTGTAAGGGTGAGAGCGGGGTCCAGGGGCTGGCAGGGCGGGTGGGGGCAGCAGTTGGGCAATGGGAATAGAGGGTGGGGTGGGGCTTGCCTGGAGGCCGAGGGTGCCCAAGTCTCAAAGGGGTTGGGGGCAAGGGTGTTCCCTGGGGCCTGGAAGCAGACAGAGCCTGGGCCATGGGCGTAAGCCTGAGACTAAACTGGGGGCTGAGGGAAGACAGAGCGGCCGCTGGGACACGAGTGCTCTGGGCTAGGACCCTCCTTCCTCTCTCTGCAGAGTCTACGCCCTGGGCAGGGCCACCTTTACCCAGCACAGTCCTAGAGACAGAATGAGGGGGGCTTCCTGCCCCCCGGTACTGCTCCTGCTGCTGCTGCGTGAGTGTGGGACAGGGGCTACGGGTGCTGACCACAGGGACCTTGGCTACCAGATGGCCCATCTCACCCCTCTCTGGCCTGGTTCCCATAGAGCACACCAGGGCAATCTAATCTTGGCTTCAAGGGTTCAGGTTCTCTCTGTCACTGACCTTGGGCTCTCCAAACTTGGATGTGCTGCTGTCTTCGAAATGGGTATAAGTCCCCACCTCACAGTGCTTTGGGGAAGGTTAAATTGGGTAACCAGTTGGACATAATCCCGGCACCAGGTTAATGCAACAGATTTGTTCCACCTTCCTTATCTGTAACCTCCCTTCCCCTCGCTCCGTTATCTGATACCAAATCCATAATCCAGTGCCTTCCCTACTTCCTCTTCCAGGAGTGGCCGGGACACTGGAGTCTGCAGGTTAGGAAGCCTCGGGTCCGCCTCCCCACCCCACCCACCCGCACCCCCACCCCCGAGCCAACCCCTACCTAACCTTGGCTCTAAGTCTCCCCGCCCCCTTCCCAAGCCTCCAGTCCTCCGCCCACCCTCGCCGCCCCCCTTGTCCTCTCGCAGCCTGCGGGCAGCCTCGTGTGTCCAGTCGGATCGTAGGGGGCCAGGACGCCCGGGCCGGAGAGTGGCCGTGGCAGGCGAGCATCCAGCACCGCGGGGCGCACGTGTGTGGGGGCTCGCTCGTCGCCCCCCAGTGGGTCCTGACCGCGGCGCACTGCGTCCAGAGGTCAGCGGCCAGACACCAGGCTCAGGCTTGTCAGGTCAGCGGCCAGACACCAGGCTCAGGCTTGTCAGGGGATGCGGGGATGGGGGCAGCGGGAGCGGGAAGCCAAGCCCGGGAAGGCGCGGGGACTGGGCCCGAGTGGAGGGGCGGCTGTAAGCGGCCCTGCTCCTGTCCGCAGGCGGGCGCCAGTGTCTGGGTACCGCGTGCGCCTCGGGGCGCTTCGTCTGGGTCCGGCCGCGCCCCGCGCGCTCTCGGTGCCCGTGCAGAGGGTGCTGCTGCACCCCGACTACGCGGAGGACGGGGCCCGCGGTGACTTGGCATTGCTCCAGCTGCGCCGCCCAGTGCCCCTGAGCTCCCGAGTCCAGCCCGTGTGCCTGCCGGACCCCGGGGCCTGGCCGCCGCCCGGTACTCCGTGCTGGGTCACTGGCTGGGGCAGCCTCTTCCCAGGAGGTGAGGCAGAGGGCGGGGCCGGGGGGCACGGGGGCCGGGGGGGGGGGGGGGGGCAGGCATTCCCCCCCTCCTTCCTCTGTCCCACCACTGCTTCAATCTGGGAATCAGTGCGACCTGCGGGCACCCCAAACCCCCCCCAGTCCTGGCCAGTTAGATCCTCAGGTGAGGCTTCTCCCTCCACCCCGCTTACTGCCACACCCTCTCTCATCGAGTCCCCCTCCGTCCCCCAGTGTCACTTCCAGAGTGGCGCCCTCTTCAGGGAGTACGAGTGCCGGTGTTGGATGCGGGCACCTGTGACCGCCTCTACCATGTAGGCACCAACGTGCCCCGTGCTGAGCAGATAGTGTTACCAGGGAACCTGTGCGCGGGCTACGTCCAGGGCCACAAGGATGCCTGCCAGGTGCGTGAAGCTGCCTCGAACCTCTGAGTCCATGCTCCTGTGCCCAGCAGCCTACCTCCCTTGAACCCAGGACCAAGGAGGTACCACCTCCAGGTTCGGCATCCTGGCTCCCAACCCAGATGTCCCACCTGGGGGACTGGAGCCCTAGGACTACGATTGTAGCCTTCAGAGGAGGGGACCTAAGCTTGCCTTTCTCCTACAGGGTGATTCTGGGGGACCCCTGACCTGCTTGAAGTCTGAGCGCTGGGTCCTGGCGGGCGTGGTGAGCTGGGGCAAGGGCTGTGCTCTGCCCTACCGTCCAGGTGTCTATACCAATGTCGCCATGTACAGCCGTTGGATTCAGGCTTGTCTCGGCCGCTGATGTGGTGACTCTGACTTGGGTTGCTCAGCTACTTGGTCCCTCTGGGGACCTGCACATCCCCCAACCCTTCTACTTCTCACTTGAGGCTCAGAGACCCGATAAAGCTAAGGAGCCATCTCTCCATTCAGCTGTCCATCCCCTACCTTCCTCGGGGCTCACCAAACCTGAGCTGCCAGCCCCGCTCCGGAGCCTCCCATCTGTGGGGGTCTCGCACTCCTGCCTCCCCTTCCTGCTCATTTATCCTCCTCAGCTCCAGCCAGGACTGGGCCTGGGCACCCAGCGACGGTCAGTGGCATTCCCGGTTTGGCCTGTGTGCCCCTCTCTCTGGAGGAAGTCAGGGAGATTCGAAGTGTAGAGGGATTCAGCACCAAGAAGATGGTTCTCCATCACCAGCTTTGAAGATGGTGTAGGGGTCGCATGGCAAGGAACTTGCAGCCGCCTCCAGGAGCTGAGGGCAGCCTTGGCTGACAGGCTTTGGGGAAAGTGAAATCTCAGCACCGTGACCGACAGGAACTGAATCTGGACACCTGACCAAGCCGGGAGGCGAATTCTTCCCCAGCCTCCAATGAGAGTCCACTCGGCCAGCCCCACAGAGCTGTGATTTAGTAAATTTGTGTTGTTTAAAGCTGCTATGTTTGTAGTCACTGGTTACACAACAATAGGAAATGAATCTAGATTTTGCCCCACCGCAATGAAGATACCTGGGGGGAGGGTAGGCCTCCACCAGGCTCAGGAATCTGGACCACCTGGCATCATGCCCTCTGCCCAAAAGGGGCCAGGAGCCCCCAGGCAGGCCTGGCTGGAGTTTCTGCTGTTGTTTCTGTCATTACCCCACCCATGCCCTGTGGGAGTCTGGGGCTGGGTCCTAGCCTTGAACAGAACCCCCACACCCAGGACCCCCAACACCTGAATCTGGAGACTGGCTTAGACCCTTTACAGCTCCATGCCCACCTTCATGTGCCTGGGACTGGCCATCTCCTCATCCCCAGCCCAAGGACACCCATTCTGTAGCTAGAGCTCAGTTTCTAGAGCTGCAGGAAGAACAAGAAACTGAACAAAACCTGGAAAATCCAAAGCCTAATCTTTGGAGTTGACGGCAGCAGTCGGTAAAGAGGTAATGGGAAGGCCATCATCAAAGGTGCAGCCTGGTGGGGGAGGCCCAAGTGCAGCTGCCCCCACAGAGGCCTAAGCCTTGTCTTCCTCCCTTCTCTTCTCCCAGGAGAGGAAGTGGCTGCACCAGGTGGTCTCGGCTGGGTTGCTGTAGGCCAGGCCAGGCAGTGTGAGTCTACGGACCGGACCGGGGCAGCAGGGAACTCCAGGCTGCTCTTTCCCCCAGTCTGAGGGCCATCCATCTGGGATAGAGCTTGGCTGTTTCTTGGGGGGCATCAGGGACTAGGGTGCCCAGAACAGGGTATGGCTGTGGCAGACCAGCCTGCAAAAGGCTGTGGTCACATCTGCGGTGGAACCCAGAGGACCCCTGTGGGGTGATGTTGGCCATTCTCCCAATTCTTTCTCAGTCTGAAGCCAGCCAAGGGATGCCTCCCAAAGCACTGAGATGGGAACAAGCCTGGGCTGGAGCCAGGGTTCCTCAGCCTTGGACCTGCTGTGATTTTAGTGATGGGTTCCCATTCAGAGTCCAGTGTTTCTAAAGTGCAACCTGGGAGTGGGGTAGGGGCAGGAACTGGGCAGAGAAGGGAAGGGCCAGTGAATGAGAAGAAATGCTACTCCTGGTCAGGCTCTTACCAGGAGGCTGGGCCACTGTGCAGGGGGCTTTACTGGACTATCTCTGGGTTTTTCACTGAGGCTCCGTGAGGTAGGTTTGTTCTCTCATTTGTCAGGTGAGAAAACTGAGGCCTGAAGTCATGCAGCTGGTAGATGGTAGACTGGGATTTGAACCCATGTGGTCTGATTCCAGGGGGAGCTGGGAATGGTAGAGGAGGGATTACTCCCTTTGCTGTCTTCACTTCTTCCTATGCTGATATTACGGCCTCCCAGCCCTTCTTCTTGGCCTATTCCTCGTGTGGCAGCCTTGTGGGGCTTGGCAAGTTGCAGCACTTTTCAGCCTCTAGACTCACTGGCACAGCACCCTGTACTGCAGCATCCTGTCAGCAAGGTCAGTTGAGAGTGGGGGGAGGGGGAGCTGGCTGTGCATCTGCTCCTGGGCCCACCATGGCTGCACAGGGGATGCTAGTCTCTTGTCCAAGGCAGGCTTTTTCTAGTTGCCCACCTACTCCTGTCTGTGGTGCTACAACCAGATGGCCTTGTCTCTCCCAATACCGACTCAACCTCATTTCCCCACCCATCATCTGAACTGGTAACAACTGCCTTATCAAGGCTGTTGGGAGAGTCAAGTTGACAGCTACAGCAATCATGGTGTTGCCTACTGAGCACGTTTGCTGTACCAGGCATGGGTGGGCTCTTCATTTCCCATTCCATGGGTGAGAAACAGGCCTTGAGAGGGTAAGTGACATGCCCTAAGGTGCACAGCAGGTAAGAGATGGAGCCAGAATTGAATTTGGGCAACTGACTCAAATTCCATGTCACTTCCCTTTGGAGATTAGTTAGTTGTAAAACACTACAAATGAGAGGCACACTAATAACCAGTGGTCATTTATAATTACTATTTATTAATCAATGTTAAAAAAATAGACAGGAGGGGAAGGCCCACCAAGGCCAAGACTCTGCAGGCTTACTTTGGAGGGTACCTGTCACGAGCGTTGGGTAGTTTGGGCAAGGGGGCAGCAAGGTCCAGGCCTTTCTGGGCAGAGAAGCCAGAGCAGCTGGCTAGCCAAGTGACCTTAAGATTTCCATTCTGTCATGGCCTCTAGGAGGGAGGACATACATACACCAAGCGAGACCACAGAGCACAGGGGTTGGGGGTGGTCAGCCCGTTCTCCTCTCAAATTGCACCCCCACCCCATTCCTACGGGTACGAAGTATCACTGCACTGAACGACAGGATGCCCGCAGTCACCTCCTGCAACAACCGACCAAGTGGGCAGAGACCCCCCTCTGAAGGGAAGGACTCACTACCTCTCCAGGCCAGGGGACCTGAGACAGTTTCAATCAGACACATCATTACCCGAACCCTGGCACTGTGCTCTCTGTGCATTAGTTCATTAATACTCCCAAATATCCTAAGGCGTCCCATCGTATATTCTCTTCAAGGATGGAAAACCAGGTGCAGGCTCAGTGCCTTGCCCAAGATCACAGTTAGTAGGCTGGGGCTCGGACTCGGTCTGCTGGAGGAGGCTGGGGACAGGCATGATTCTCAGGGGGATGGGGTGGGGGCTAAGAGCGCTGTCCCACCCCCCAGACCTCCAGGGTGACTCCTGGTGAACGTCAGCTGGGACACCAGCTGGGCGGACAGGTCAGCTGGTCTACAGGACGGTCTGCAGGACAGCCTAGCTCCAGACAGATGTGCTCAGGCTGCAGGTCCTGTCCCCGCACCCCGGACCCCGTCTGCACCCGCCTCACTCTGGGAGGTCTGCTGGCTGCCTTCTTAGCCCTCCCCTCCTCAGCAGCACAGGAACTTCAAAGCCTCCAGCGCTCTGTTCACAAAGATGCTGATGTGAAGGAAACTTTCAGGCTGGCCAAGGACCTGCCCCACCACATCCTGACTCAGGGGATGAAGCCCAAGGGGAGGTCAGCCTGGGCCTGGCGGGCTAGCAGGGAGCCGCTGCTGCCTTGGGGCCCAGGGACGGGAGAGTCAGAGGAGAAGGGACTTCAGAAGGCTCCCGAGGAGCCGGGAGAAGTAAAAAATACCTCCAGTTCGAGTTCAGGAGACATCTGTTTAGTGCTAACTCTTGGAGAGGCTCTACAAAGTCCCAACGGTTACTTTCCCATCTTGAAGAAGAGGAAAGTGGGCCTTGATGAGTGAGGTTAGCTGCCCAAAGCTGCACCGTCAGCGCTGGAACCAGGACTTGAATATCCGTTGATTTGAGCCCAGAGCCTGTGCAGCGGGCCACCAGCTTGATTCAGGGCCACGGCGGCAGCTTCCACGCACTCACATCGCAGCCCAACACCTGCAGAGCTTTTGCCGCCCAGCGCCATTCACTGGCTCCTCTGGGACACACACCGGTGCTGACCCTGGGAGTGGATTCAGTAGGAGAAAAGCCTCCATCCCTTGCTCTAGTGCAGTGGTTCTCAACCTTCCTAATGCCGCGACCCTTTAATACAGTTCCTCATGTTGTGGTGACCCCCAACCATAAAATTATTTTCGTTGCTACTTCATAACTGTAATGTTGCTACTGTTATGAATCGTAATGTAAATATCTGATATGCAGGATGGTCTTAGGCGACCCCTGTGAAAGGGTCGTCCGACCCCCAAAGGGGTCGCGACCCACAGGTTGAGAACCGCTGCTCTAGTGTGATTGCAAATGGGAGTGACGCAGGGCAGGACCAACGCGGAGGAAGGACAGGCTGGGCTGTGGGTCAGTCTGCCCCCGTGGACAGGCAGCCAGGGAAGCAAGGCTACAGGCCCTACCGAGGCCAAGGGGACCTGGGCAGGAGGCCGGCGGACGCTCACGGCCCTGGGGCAGGGCCCGCCCCTTCCCTGCGGCTTCTGCCCGGCCCACCCCCGGACCCCCGGGCCCGCAGCAGCTTCCTAGGGCCATTACAGGCCATAACGCCCTGAGCCGGATGAAGCGGACTCACACCTGAGGCGGGGCAGGGAAGTGCGGGCAGTCCTCCTATAATATATGGACCTATATGGTGGCTGGAAGGCCAGCATTGAAAAGCTCCTCCAATGGCCGCCGAGAGCCCTTGGAATCATGCGTCAGGCCCCCCCACGCGGCAGCCCGGGTCTCACTGAGATGCTCATGCTGCCTCCCCAGCGACCCAGAAGCGTATCATCCATTCACTCTTCCTGGGTGCGGGAGTAGCCACGCTCGTTAGCTCGGTTCCCATAGCAACGAGAGAAGGCTGGCCCGCATCCGGGCCTCCCGCTGCCTGATCCAGACGGGACCTCGCTTTGCCACTCCCAAGATGGCGCCGTCCCAGCGACGTCCCTCCGGCCTACGACCCCTGCCGACTCCCACCACCTCCGCCACCCCGCGGGGATGACTTGACGGGACAGGACAAATAGTGACGCACCGTCGTCAGGTTTGAGAGCCGCTTTTTAGTACAACAAAAATGCGGCCAGAGGGCGGGTCCCCTCGGAACAGGGCCCTGGGGGACCCCCCAAAAGACCCACGAAAGAGAGTGGAAAATACCTTCATGACCTTAAGGGGGAGTAAGGCATTGCTTCCTTTAGAAAAAGACTTGGGGATGGGGACTAGGCTAAAACCCAGGGAAAACGAGGCCCCCGGCCCCCCGGGGGTCCGGGGGGGGTTGGGGCTTCCCGGCTGATTGCCGGCCCGCCTGCCCCCAGGGACGTGTTTCCTTATGATTCCGGGGGCCCCAAGGGCCACCATCTTTCCCGGGACGCCCAAGGAGTCGAGCACCGGGGTTCGAGCTGGAACGCCATCGTTGAGGGCATTTTTCAAGGAGGCCGCCCGACGAGCAGCGGCTGTACAAAGGTGCGGGCCCCGCCGGTTTCCGGGGAGGGGCGGGGGGCCTGGCGGAAGGGCTGGGGGCCCGGGGGCGGCCGCTGCCCCGGAACCCGCCTCCCCTGAGCCCTGGTCGTAGGGCGCCCGGAAGGCGGCGTCGTTGATGTAAACAGTAGTGGACGCCGCGGGCTGAACCCTCCCCCCACGTGGGGCCGTGTTCGAACTCGGGGAGATGAAGCAGCGAGAGCCTCGCCGCACCTGAGGTCGCGATGGAGGAGGGTGTGGAAGGCGCGCGCCAGGCTCCGTGCTGAGCGCCGGGGCCGGCATCGCCGCTGATCTTGCAAACGGTCTATCCGCGCCGCGCCGGCTCCGGACATCCCTGCTCTGTTGTTAAGGAAACAGGCTCGGCAAGGTGGCCACTTACGAGCCCAAGGTCGTTGGCAGAGCCAGGGTTTGATTCCGGATACCCTCACCCCTCTGCAGGCCGTCAGAGCCACACTGACCCCCCAGACACTCCGTACAAAGAAATGGTGCTCGGACGAGTCCGGTTGAGTCCGGTCCCGCCAGCGCTTCACAAAACTGTGATTACTCCCCAGCCTTGCTGATGTTATAAAAGCTCCCGCACCCCCACCCCTTCCTTCTTACAACCAGCGAGTTATTTAGCAAGGATGGCTTGTGGTTTGGGGTTTTCACGGCAATCGGGTGTGTCAGCCCCTGATTAAAGTCTCTGGAAGCATGAGGTCCCTCACGTGAGTGGCTGATACCGACTGGGGCTTCCCTGCCAAATGCATGCCTTCACTCTGAGACCTCCTGCTGGGAATTCCAGTAATTCCCATTTTACAGATAAGGAAACGTCACATCAAAAGTTTACTTGGTCCGGGGTGGCAGAGCTGGGGTTCAAACCATGTCTGCCTGTGGCCAGGTTGAGTTAACGGGCTCTTAAAATTAGATTCGCCCTAACTTGTTTGGCTCAGTGGATAGAGCGTCGGCCTGCGGACTGAAGGGTCCCAGGTTCGATTCCGGTCAAGGGCATGTACCTTGGTTGCGGGCACATCCCCAGTGGGAGGTGTGCAGGAGGCAGCTGATCGATGTTTCTCTCTCATCGATGTTTCTAACTCTCTATCCCTCTCCCTTCCTCTCTGTAAAAAACCAATAAAATATATTTTTTAAAAAAATAAAATGAAATTAGATTCACCTGGAGTTTGGGAACAAACATTCCAGAGCCCTACCTTGGGAGGTGCCAGTTTGGAAGGACTTGACTGTGGCCCTGGGAACTTTGGTTAACTCTGTGGTGGTCCTGGGCCCTACTATGGGCTGTCTCTCTACCCTTTCTGACCCCCTCTGTGGTTCTTGACCAGAGAAGCCTTTGGGACTTGACCCGCCTGGAGCCTCTCCTGAAACCCTGCCTGCCTCTCTCCTCAGGATGACCAACTTCTGGATGACAGCAAGACCCTGGGCGAGTGTGGCTTCACCAGTCAAACAGCGAGGCCCCAGGCCCCAGCCACTGTGGGGCTGGCCTTCCGGGCAGGTGAGAGGGGCAGCCAAGCCAGCCAGGGCCCGACAGCCAAAGTTAAGGGGGTCATCAGGGAGCCTGGAATTACTCTTCCAGGACAGTGTTTTCCCAGCCCACAAACGTCAGGCAATATCCTGTGACTGTATTTGTTACCTCGCAAACAAGATGCTTGTAGAAATTGGAGCCTATTTCATGAAGGATTCAAAGGTCCCTATTGACGATACCAGTTTATATTTACAGGGGACTTTTTTAAAAAAAATTCCCATCCCCCTTACACTTCTTCCCCCTTTGGCAACCATCAGTTTATTTATGCGTCTGTTTTGTTTCATTTATTCACTTGTTTTGGTTTTTTTTTTTAGATTCCACATATGAATGAAATGATAAGGTATTTGTTTTTCTCTGTCTGACTTACTCCGTTTAGTATTATACCCTCTAGGCCAGTGATGGCGAACCTTTTGAGCTCGGCGTGTTAGCATTTTGAAAAACCCTAACTTGACTGGTGCCGTGTCACATAGAGAAATTTTTTGATATTTGCAACCATAGTAAAACAAAGACTTATATTTTTGATATTTATTTTATATATTTAAATTCCATTTAACAAAGAAAAATCAACCAAAAAAATGAGTTCGTGTGTCACCTCTGACATGTGTGTCATAGGTTCACCATCACTGCTCTGGGTCCATCCATGTTATGGCAAATGGCAAAATTTCATTCTTTTTTATTGCTGAATAATACTCCATCGTGTGTGCGTATGTCCACATCTTCTGTATCCATCTATTGATGGACATCTAGGTTATTTCCATATCTTGGCTATTACTAGTAATACTGCAGTGAACAAAGGGGTGCATATATTTTTTCATGTTTTTGTTTTCTTTACATAAATACCCAGAAGTGGAATTACTTGGTCATATGGTAGCTCTATTTTTAATTTTTTCAGGAATCTCCATACTGTTTTCCATAGTGGCTACACTAAGTTTACAGTCCCACCAACAGTGTATGAGGGTTCTTTTTTCTCTACTTACTCACCAGCACCTCTTGTTGATTTATTGATGATAGCATTCTGACAGATGTGAGGTGATAGTTCATTGTGATTTAATTTGCGTCATTAGTGATGTTGAGTGTCATGTTTGTTGGCCATCTGTGCGTCCTCTTGGGAGAAATGTCTGTTCAGGTCCTCTGACCATTTTTTTTTTAAAGACTTTTTTTAAAAAATATTTTATTGATTTTTTACAGAGAGGAAGGGAGAGGGATAGAGAGCCAGAAACATCGATGAGAGAGAAACATTGATCAGCTGCCTCCTGCACGCTCCCCACTGGGGATGTGCCCGCAACCAAGGTACATGCCCTTGACCGGAATCGAACCCAGGACCCTTCAGTCCGCAGGCTGACACCCTGTCCACTGAGCCAAACCAGCCAGGGCTAGCAATGTTAATTCTAGACAGTGTTTGTGATTTTTAGTCCAATAGTCTTCAGTCCAGTAGTTAAAATAACTGCTTTCTTGTTTAATTTCAAACATTTCTATAGGACACAGTGTTGCTTTGGGCTCAGTCCAAAGGTTATTTTGCCTTAACATTCTAAAGATTTGAGGCATAAAACATGCAAGGCCGCTCCTTCTGCATGTCAGCTCTGGCTCCATTTAGTTTTGAAAAGTTTTCACCATTGAGTATGAAATTACCTGTGGGTTTGTAATATACAGCCTATACTATGTTGAAATATGTTCTTTCTATACTCACTTCATTGTTTTTGTCATAAAAGGATGTTTAACTTGTCATACTTTTTCTGCATCTATTGAGATGATCATATGGTTTTTATGTTTTGTTAATATGATGTATCACATTGATTTATGGTTGTCCAACCATCCTTGCATCCCTGGGATGACCCACTTGGTCATGGTGTTTAATCCTGGTTTGCTAATATTTTGTTGAGAATTTTGCATCTATGTCCATCAAAGGTATTGACCTATACATTTTTTTGGGGGCGGGGAGGGTAATGTCTTCGTCTGGTTTTGGTATCAGGGTAATGCTGAATGAGTTTGGAAATGTTTCTTCCTCTGTTGAAATAGTTTAAGGATACGTTTAATTCTTTGAATGCTTGGCAGAATTTACCGGTGAAGTCGCCTCCCACTGCAGGCGATAGGCGTGGGGTGCGATCGCTTGGCTGGCCTGGGGCTCCGCAGAGGGAAGCCACTGGCCGGGTAGCCTGGGCCTCCCTCTAATGTATTTTTCATTTCAGTTATGTATTCTAAAGGTGTGCTTGATTATTATACTTGACTAGAGGCCCGGTGCACAAAAATTTGTGCACTGGGGGGGGGGCGGTCCCTCAGCCCGGCCTGTGCCCTCTCACAGTCTGGGACCCCTCAGGAGATAACGACCTGCTGGCTTAGGCCTGCTCCTGGGTGGCAGAGGGCAGGCCCAATCCCTAGGTGCAGCCCCTGCTCTGGCTCAGAGCATGGCTGATTGGGGAGATGGGGCGCCGCCCCCTGTCATGCACAGAGCAGGGCGGATTGGGAGGTTTCGATGCCACCCTCAGTCACGCTCAGGGTGGGGCCGATTGGGAGTTTGGGGCACTGCCCCCTGTCACACTCAAGGCAGGGTCGATGGGGAGGTTGCGGCGACACCCCGTCACGCACAGAGCAGGGCCAATCAGGGGGTTGAGGAGCTCCCCCCTGTCACTCACAGAGTAGGGCCGATAGGGGAGTTGGGGCGCCGCCCCCTGTCACGCACAGAGCAGGGCCAATCAGGGGGGTTGGGGCTCCGTACCCTGTCACGCACGGAGCAGGGCCGATAGGGGAGTTAGGGCACCAGCCCCCTGTCACACACAGAGCAGGACAGATCAGGGGATTGGGC